AAACAGATGGTTAAGGCCATTCCTTGGAGTATCACTATTTTCTGGAATGCATAACTCAAATAAAATTACACACTGTCCCTATAAAGTAACCTTACCTCTGGCATGATACCACGGTGGGATGCCAGGAGGCCATCTTCGCATTCTGCCTGCTTACCACGGGTAGGAGCAGTGTAATAGGCTGAAATGCTGGTGGCTAGTTTTGTGTGTCAACTTGACACAGCTAGAGTCATCAGAAGGAGCCTCAGCTGAGGAAATGCCTCCGTGAGATCCAGGTGTTAGGCATTTTCCCATTTAGTGATCAATGGGGGACGGCTCAGCCCACGGTGGGTGCTGCCATCCCCGGGCTTGGTTCTATAAGAAGGTGTGCTGAACAAGCCTCGGGAGGCAAGCCAGTAAGCCATTCCTCTCCATGGCCTTGCATCAGCTCCTGCCTCCAGGATCCTGTCCTGACTTCCTTCAGTGATCAGCAGCAATGCTGAAGTGGAGGCCAAATAAGCCCTTTCCTTCCCAACTTGCTTTTTGGTCACGGTGTTTTATTGCAGCAATAGGAACCCTAAGACCCTTGGCAACTTTGATTTTCTCTGATGTTCATATGAGAGGGAGAGCTGATGTGTTGGTGAGAGGAAATTTGTGAGAGTTAGAAGTGAGAAGTAAAGAGAGGTGACTGAAAATAGTAAAGACTGCGGGGAGATAAGTGGTTACCATCAAAAGCTATACATTCGCAGACGCTCATGGAAGCTGGGATTGACTAAATTGTAGGGTTGAAATGCTTTCTCCAAAAGTCCTTAGCCAATTAGTCAATTGGAATAAATGAGGGAGGAAGGAAATCATTGTTTTTAATCCAAATTAGACTAATTCTGGATGAATGAACAGAGCTCTGAGAACAGATAGCCATAGACACTAATGAGAATGTGTTCAGGTGGTGGGGTTAAAAACTGCACACAGAATACAGAAACAGAATAGAAGAAAAAGAAAAACAAGGTGGCTGGGAATCCTGGATAAAGGAGTGACACAGCTAAATGAAAGGGAGTTTGGGATAAATGCCACACTGTAGGGTTTCCTGTTTCAGAGGTAGAACAGACTCATGATAATGGCCAGAACATGGCCATAGCTAGAGTGGATGATAGCACGTAGACTCTTAAATCACTTGCTGAGAAATATGGAAATGTGGCTAGCAGATGTCAGGGATGGGAAGAAGCATAATGTGTAACCGTGGGAAAGGAAAGTTCATTTGCTTTGTTAGTCAGGGAACAATGGTTTGCTTTTGGGAACAAGGAAATGAGAGCATAGCCTGCTGGATATGGAGTACCTCCTAAGTCAATGAGTGACCTGAGGACCTAAGAGGGAGAAACACCAATGCCTTTTATTACACAATTCCTAAATGCCTTGTAACCCTGTTATTAAAAATTAAAGCAAGGGGTGATGCCATTGCTCACTAGTAGAAAACTTGGCTAGCATGCATGAGGCCTTAGGTTCAAACCTAGTGCTGCAAAACATGAATGTATAGGGCTGAATGTGTAGTTCAGTGGGATACTATGCATCCAACATGTCTGAGAACCTAAATTCAGTTCCCAGTATCACACATGTGTATGAACAGCACATACATACAGACATACGCAACCATAAATCTAGTGCAGTACTTACTTGTTTTATTTTAGTCCCCAAGATAATAGCCAACAACAATAGCAAAAAAACATTTTTATAACAGAGGTAAGTTTATAGTTTTTTTGGTAGTGATGTTATTACACACACACACACACACACACACACACACACACACACACACTGAAATTCACCCAATTTCCAGCTATGTAGGCACTACTATAGTCAGGATCCAGAACAACGATACATCACTTGACAACTACTCATCCACAATTTGCCCTTTTGGGGTTGACTTAAATAAAATCATTAAGCATTCCACTGCACAGCTGTATACAGTTTACTTATTACTTAGGGGTGTGTCTTAGACACTGCTCTATTGTTATGAAGAGACACCATGACCAAGTCAGCTCTTCTAAAAGAGCCATTTCATTGGGGGCTTCCTTACAGTTTTAGATGATCATGGCAGGAAGCAGACAGGCATGGTGCTGAGAGCTTTACATCCTAATCTGTAGGCAGTCTGGGGCTGGGGGTTTGTTGTGTGATATTTTGTTTATGTTCTGACAAATAAAGCTTCAGAGCTAGGCACTAGTTTACAATAGAGGTCTGGAGGTCTGTACAAAGAGGACACAGGAAGTGACAAGTTGGAGTGAAGAAAGGATCTCATCCCATTTGATCAGAGGACCCATAGAGGTCAGAGGCAACTGTGGCTGCCTCCTCTGCTTCTCTGACATTGCAGGGTTTTGCCCCGGTTTCTGACTCTTGGTTTTTATTGATAAGGTTAATAATAGATTTACACTTCAGGGGTTGGCATCAGCTTTTGAAACCTCAAAGCTTATCCCCAGTGCCACATTTCCTCCAAGGCCACATACCCTAATCCTAATCCTTCTCAAACAGTTCCTGTAACTATGCATTCAAATATATAAGACTATGTGGGCTATTCTCATTCAAACCACCAAAGTTGCTTCCAGGTCTTGGCCATTGTGAATAGCATTGCCATAAACTTTTCCAGTACAGGATTTGTGTAAATATGAGGTTTGTAAATATGAGGTTTCAGTTCTCTTGAGTAAATGCCTAGAAGTGGGATTGCCAGGCATTTAAAGAAAATGGTTTATTTTTATTATTTTTTTAATTAGGTGTATGCATGTGTATCTGTATGCCTATATGCTTGTGAGTGCGGGTGCCCTCAGGCCAGAGGTGTTGGATGCCCCTGAATCTGGAGTTGCAGGCAGTTGCGAACTGTTCCACCCAGGTGCTGGAAATTAAACTCTGCAAGAGTGCTAAATCTTTTAACCACTCTGCAAGGCCCCAAAGTCTTTTGAGCATATGTTAACTCCACAAGAAAAATACAAACCCCCTGGTGGTGGTGGTGGTAGGGACCACAGAGTCCATCTTTAAACCCAGCACTTGGAGGCAGAAGCAGCAGGATCTAGGAGTTCAAGACCAGCTTGGTCTACAGAGTGAGTTCAAGACAGCTAGGGCTACATAGAGAAGTTGTATTGGGGGTGGGGAAAAGAAGAAGAAGAAGAAGAAGAAGAAGAAGAAGAAGAAGAAGAAGAAGAAGAAGAAGAAGAAGAAGAAGAAGAAGAAGAAGAGGAGGAGGAGGAGGAGGAGGAGGAGGAGGAGGAGGAGGAGGAGGAGGAGGAGGAGGAGGAGGAGGAGGAGGAGGAGGAAGAGGAGGAGGAAGAGGAAGAAGAAAAAACAAACCTGTTTTAGCTGCATGAACTGTTTTCCTACCAAAAGTGTATAGTATTTTAATCTGCTTCATATCCTTGTCACCTGTTAGCAGTGTTAAATCTGTTTGCTCCTTTGTGTAGCCATCCAAAAAGCATGTGATGATATTGTGGTAGTTTGAGTTTTAATTGGCCCCCAAATCTCATAGGGAGTGACACTATTAGGAGGCGTGGCTTTGTTGGAGTGGGGATATGGCCTTGCTGGAGGAAGTATGTCACTGTGGGGGCAGGCTTTGAAGTTTCCTATGCTCGGGATACTGTCAGTGTCCCCCACATCTGCCTGCACACTACCATGCTGTCTGCCATGATGATAAGAGACCAGACTTCTGAAACTGTAAGCCACCACGTCAAATAAATGTATACATTACCACATCCAACTCATACATTATTATGTATATGTTTTTGTCTGGTTTTTAGATATCATGTTAATATTAGTGATTTCTAATAACAGATTTTTTAAAAGGAAGAAGAAAAAGGAGGAGAAGAAAAGATGGAGAGGAAGAAGAGGAGGAGGAGGAAGAAGAAGAGGAAAGGTTTATTTTAGCTTGCAGCTTCTAAGGTATCAGCTCATGGTTGATAAGTCCTGTCAATTTGGACCCATTCTGGGTCAGTGTGCCATGGCAGCTACTCATGGGAAGACCATTCACCTCATTGTTGGGATACCACAATCCCTTTTGAGGGAACACTTTCAGTGACCTGAGAGCTCTCACTAGGTCCCACTTCATTCATATATATGTATGTATGTATGTATGTATGTATGTATGTATGTATATATATATATATATAGATATCTTTATTGGTTCTTTGGGAATTTCACATTATGCACCCCAATTCCACTCATTTCTCAGTCCTTCCATATCTACCCTTCACCCTTGCAGCATCTGCCCCCAAAAGACAATTTAAAAAAATTAAAACCAACCAAAACAGAACTTTGCTGCTCTGTCTTTCCCACCTCTTCATTGGTCTTAGTGTCATTGGGAGCCTTGGTGTGACACTCATTATACCCTTTGTCCAATTAGCTTTACTTGCAAATGTTCATTGCAATGAGTCATTGGTCTGGTTCAAGGCCTCTGGCTTCTGGTACTCCATCATCATAGGATCAGCACTGAAACTCCTCTCAAATATCCTGGGGCCACACCAAGCCATGCAGATCCTCTGGAGGAATAGTCCCTTCATCTGCTCCAATAGGTCATTAAATGGGGATAGATGTTAGTGTTGTGGAATATTTAACTATGGAAAGTGTTGTGGAATATTTAACTATGGAAAGATGTTACATTTGTTTATGCCGCACCCAGTATTACTTTAACTGTGTGAAGGTTTGCTTCTGCTGGCTGTGTTAATGATGCAAAGCAAAAGCAAAATGTTGCTTTTGTTTATGCTGCATCTGTTTAATGATGTAAGGATGTGTTGCGTTTGTTTCACCTTACCTGCCTCAGGCACCTACTTGGTTTAATAAAGAGCTGAATGGCTAATAGCTAGGCACAGAGGGATGGGCAGGGCTGGTGGGCAGTCATTGAGTATTCGTGGAGAAAGGAAATCTATTGTTCAGAAAGTGAGCAGAGGTTAGTAAAGTTTCAGGAAACTTTGGGTTTGGCCCAGTGTAAAGGTGAGCCCATATGCAAGAATGGCTGTATGTACTGACCAGGAATCTTAGGCAAATCTACTCACCCAGTAAGTGTGCGCTTTCACTCTAAAATAAATTTCTTCCACTGTCTCATCTCTGGTCTTTCCTTGATGGTGACAAGAACCAGGAAATCTCAAGCGCAGTTTCAGTCACATCTATCTGAGGCCTCCACAGCTTCTGTCCAGGAGCAATGGTCTCAGTCACTCAGAAAACAGCCAAGGATATTGTGGGCATATTTGGCAAACAGCATAATCCACTTCACAAATTAACTTCACCTGCAAATATATTTTAGGATTAGTTGAACAGAAGAGCAGCCTGACTAGAGTCACAACTCCCAATCCATTCAGAGGCTTAAGAACCACCCCAACTCACACACACAAGCTTGAGAAGAACAATTATATTGCACCTGTCTCTCAATGTTTGCAAAGGAGCTGGTTGTCACTTTGTCAGGTAACTGCCACGTAAAAAGAAATGTTTTTTTCCAGTGTTTTGATTCATATTTAACTTTGTCTCTATGATAAAACCAATTCCTTGATTTTCATACTTTAGAGTATGTACCAGGTGGAAACTGAAATTGTGGTCAGAGTCAACAGTATCTGTGGATGGTCACTAGTAATGTAGGAAAACTTCCTCAGGTTCTGAATATGCAGGGGGCAGGAAGTGACCTCCTTCAAGGAGATGGTCCCCTGGTACTCTAACCTAGATTAAGTGTGTTGTATAACACAGAACCAAGAAGAGCAGCTCCAACACCAGCAGAAACCAACAAGCAAGAAGCAGCTGGAGTGGCCTTTCTGGGTAAAGGGAAAAATAAAAAGCAAGCTCATTTCAAAATGCTAGCAGAGCCAACTCAAAAGTTGAAGGCTCACCTGACCGCCTGTTGTGCACTGATATGCAGGTAATCTAATTAAAATTCTTTTAAAGAAAACTGATTGACCAGTAGACAATAAAGCGGCTCTTTGAAGCTTTACTTACTAACTGGTTCTTTCTCTTAAAGAACTACCCAGAACAAGTCAGATCCAACTCACTTGGCACCTTGAAGTAAAAAACAAAACAAAACTGGTTTTTCTTGCTCTTGAGCTGTAATTTCTACTCAATAGCTTTAAGAACTATAATACTGTAGGGACAAAATATGTGGTAAAGTAATGCCTGGTCATCTGAGGCCTAATTCCCTAAACACTGAATTGTGTTCTCTCTCTCTCTCTCTCTTTCCTCTCCCTATAATTTATTTTGGATAAAAATCCTTTAAAAAAAAGATACTATCTGTGGTGGTTTCAAAGAAAATGGCCCCAAAAGGGAGTGGCACTATTAGGAGGTGTGGCCTTGTTGGAGAAAGTGTGTTACTGTGGAGGCCGGCTTTGAGGTCTCCTATATATATACTCAAGCCCTGCCCAGTGAGCAGACTACTTCCTGTTGCCTTTGGATCAAGATGTAGAATTCTAATCTCCTTCTCCAGCATTGTGTCTGCCTGCAACCTGCTATACTCTCAGCTGCCACTCTCCCTGCCATGATGACAATGGAATAAATCCCTGAATCTTTAAGCCATCACCTTGATTAAATGTTTTCCTTTATAAGAGTTGTGGTCCTGGTCACTCTTCTCAGCAGTAGAAGCCCTAAGACACTATCATAATTCTGTCTTTTCTTTTTCTCCTAGTATGTTTTCCAACTTCTGACATTAAGTCATTGAAATCCAGGAGCCACCAGCAGAGGTTCTGCCTAAAAATACTGGATTCTTTGTGTACTTATTGCTTGAAGTGTCAATCATACTAATTACTACTTAATCTGGTCTTAGTTCCTGTGGTATATAATGCATCCATGATTATACTTGAGTGTGTAGGGCACTTCAATTAGAAAATTAATTTTTAAACTAGTTTACAAAGTAGTAAGTTTCTTTATGGTATTTCATATATATATATATATACACATATATATATATGGCATTATAACATTGATCATTGGCTGGTCTAGAACTCTAGTATACCGCACTGGTTTGGAACTCACAGAGATCCACATGATTCTTGCTTCTGAGTGAGTGCTGGGATTAAAGGTGTATGTCATCATGCCCAACCCATTTTTTTAATACAGTTCTCATGTATCTCAGGCTGGCCTCAAACTCAGTATATAGCCAACAGTGATCTTGAGCTCCTAATATTCAGGTGTATGCCTTGAACCCAGCTTAAATTAGAATTTTTGATAATGAATTTTTCAGTATAAATATATCCTGAATATTTTATAACCAGTTATTGTTTATTTTACTCAAATATTACCAGACTGTCTATATTTTTTCTGACATTTTCAATCAGATATCTCAGAAATACATATATTGTTTGGCCTAAGCTGCCCTTAAACTGCTTTCTTATTGTCGTTTGTGCCTTCAGTGTTGTAAAGTTTTGCTTTTCAAGTCAGATTATAGGATGTTGAAGAGATGACTCAGTGGCTAAGAGCATTGGCTGCTCTTCCCAAGGTCCCAGGATCAATTCCCAGCACTCTGATGGCAGCTCAGAACTGCCAAGGGATATGACACCCTTTTCTGGTCTGTTTTGTGCACATCATGTGCTTGGTGTACAGGCATACATGTAGGCAAAACACACACACACACATACGAAGAGACAGAGATAGAGACAGAGAGACAGAGAGAATCAGGTGATAAAGAAACCAAAGCTAGTTCCTGGACACAATGTCTCAGACCGCTGTTTCTCTTTATTCATTTATGGCCTTCTGAATTATTCAGTAACACTTTTCATCTGTCTCTACTTTGCTTCTGCCATCTCCTCTTTAGTCTGTGCTCATTTCTCTTCTGTTCCATTTTCGAATTCCTGTAGTTAAATGTAGTTTTTAAGAGGGTTTGGTTTTGTTTTTTGAGTTCATGGTGTAGCTCAGTGAGTGCTTACTGGACACATGCAGAAGGCCTGGGTTTGATTCCTAGCATTAAAAAAAAGAGTGAACTTCTTGGGACAAATGAGGGTTCGGGTTCCAGCCTGTCCCTTCACTGCGTATGGGAATGTAAAATTATTTCGTGTCTATAAGCTGGGGCTTCACTTTCTGAGGACTGCCAAGCTCTGGTGCTCTCTTTGTCAGGCTACCGTGGCAGGTAGTGGGCAAACCACTCAAGAGTGACTTGTAGATTCTTACTGTAAGAGGAGCTTCAGGTTTGACTATTGAGCTACTCTATGCCCAGACTTGTGGCTCGTGTTGAGCTAATACTTGCCCTGGTGATCTTTGACTTTCCCTCTCATGTCGTCATCAACCAGTTCGGGTCAGTTCCACTCAGTTCAGGAAACTCACATTGAGTTCTGGTGGTGGTTGTTGTTTCAGACAGGGTTTCACTCTATAGCTCAGGCCCTTTGCAACCTGCTTTAATCCCAGAAGTGCTGAAATCATTACTGACATGGTTAAGTTCAGAGCCTGGGCAGTTTAGGCTAAATCACTTGTCCTCAAGAGGTCAATTAAATGGACAAGAAGCAGTAAAAGGTGCCGTGGAATGTAGCACAAATAATAAAAACCCAGAGGCAGATATTAGGGCTTAAGCTGAAAGACCAGAGAGGCAAAGCTTCCAAGCCCCAGAGATCTGCCCCCGCTACCAGTGCTCAGACTGAAGGGATGATTTTGTCCTCTGATTGCATCTCCAAACTGCATTGCTCTCCACCAAGCCTCTGACTACAATTCTCTCCTTCTGTCTCCTCCCGCCTTATATTCCTCTCTCTGCCCAGCCATACCACTTCTGTCTCTACCTCCCTAGTGCTGGGATTAAAGGCATGTGAACCCAAGAGTGTTCAGATCACCTTTGTGTGAGCTGTTTCTCTTTTAGACTAGGTCAATTTCATGTATCCTTGAGCTAAGAGAGATCTATCTGCCTCTGTCTCCCGAGCCTGGGATTAAAGGTGTGTACCACCACTGCCTGGTTTTATGGCTGTGGCTAGCTTTACATTTTGATCTCCAGTTGCTTTATTAGACCACAAACAATATATCACCACAGTGGAATATTGTTTTAAGGTTTGTTACATTTGTTTACGCTGTAGAACATTTGTTTAATGATGTAGAGATGTGTTGCTTTTGTTTATGTTGCATTTGTTTAACTCTGAAGCTGTCATTCTTTGCTTGTCTAAAACACCTGATGGTCTAATAAAGAGCTGAATGGCCAATAGCAAAGCAGAAGAAAGGATGGGCGGGACTGGCAGACAGAGAGAATAAATAGGAGGAGAAATTTGAGGCGAGAGAAGGGATAAGCAAGATAGAACAAGGAGAGGAGGATGTCAGGGCCCAGCCACCCAGTCACTCCACCACCCAGTCAACCACAGAGTAAGGTAAGACATACAGAAATAAGAAAAGGGAAAAGTCCAGAAGCAAAATATAGATGTGATAATTTAAGAAAAGCTGGCAAGAAACAAGCCAAACTAAGGCTGGGAATTGATAAGTAAGAATAAGACTCCACGTGTGATTATTTGGGAGCTGGGTGGTATGCCCCCAAAAGAGTAAATAGTAGAAAACAAACAAACAAAACAGAAAACAAACAAGCCTAACCACAAAAAGGCAGAGAAAGATTTTACTCAACATGACCACTTTAAGTATGTTCAATGTAATACATTCTACTCTGTCTGTCTATCATCTATCTATCTATCTATCTATCTATCTATCTATCTATCTATCTATCTATCTATCTATTGTGACAGTCTCTCTATTCCTGGCTCTTCTGGAAATTGCTAAGCAGACCAGGGTGGATTTGAACACACAGAAATCTTCCTGCCTCCGCTTTCCCAGTGCTAGGACTAAAGGTATGTGCTACCATGCCCAGCTGTGACCACATTAGGAAGAAGAACAAAGAAGTCCAGTGTTAGTCCATCTCAAGGTCTAACATGAAGTTTAAGTTTAAAATGATTTATTTCATTTTTATGTGCATTGGTGTTTTGCCTGTATGTGTGTCTGTGTGAGGGTTGTTGGATCCCCTGGAACTATTACAATAGTTATCTTTACTTTTAAAAAAAGACAGTATATTAAGTATATTTAAAAAGCAGAGAAAGGACTCAGTGGGAAGGTACATGAGGTACACAAGCCTGGACTCAATTTCCCATCGTTTTGGAGGTGGGATGGGGAGGAGAAAGAGGTAAGGAATGAAAGCAGATGTGACAGCTTAAGCTTGTGGCTCCAGCACAGAGAGTGTGAGACAGGCCTTGACCATATGATGAACCTTTAGCGGCCATTTTAGATTTGGACCAAGTTAACATCAAGATCTAGTTTACATTCCATCATCCAGAAGTTTTCCGAAGACTGGATTACACGAAAATTTAAAGGGAAGTATTCTATGCTAAGTCATCCAATTTATTTTTCTCTTTGCTGTTTTCTAACTATGCTTTCCTAAGTCATGGTTTTAATCATGTGCAATATGAAGAAGCATAAGCTTAATTCTAGGTGCATTGTGTTAACAGGAAAGGGATAAATCTGCTGTATCCGATGATCAAACCAGATCCAGAATATTACATTTCAGCCTGTGCACCGCTTGCATAGGCTACAGTGGTTGGAAGATTTTCGACATATATTAGTAGGCTTTAAAAAGTAGTATGTTTGAGATCCTTGGAGAGAGGAAGAGGTAAATGGCTCTCCTATATGGTGGTCTCTCTCTGCACTTCCCCGACCCCCCTCCCCCGTTTAGCCACACTAAGCCCATTTTGGATTCCAGAGACTCTCTCCAGCGGTCAGAGTGGGGGCAGGGGTCATTTCCAACCAAACAAGCTGGTTCCTAGACTAAAGTTGGTAACCTGCACCAGGGATAAATCTTGTTTTCAACTCACTGGTGGTCATTTTCAGGAGCCAAGATCCGCCTCCCGGTTCTCTATCAGGGTTCTTTGACCCAAAGGACTTTGCCCTTTCTTAAATTGCGGGTCATCCTACCACTTTCGGCAGCCGAACTGTCGGCAGAGACACCCTTCCTATCAAGGTCCCGCGACCGTGAGGCTGTCACGGGGCTGCCCCGGTGTGGTCGCTTCAGGGACGCGGCTGGGCAAGCGCGAAGCTGGGGCCGCCGGAGCCGAGCAGGGAACGGCGTTTGCCGGGGCCAAGGCGGAAGCCGGAGCCTTTGGCGGACGGGACCGCGGGAACCCGGAAACGCCTGGGCCGCACCGAGGCGGTCCGGGCCACTGAGACGGCGGGAGCCGGCGGCGCTGCGGGTCAGCGGACGCGGCGGGGCCGGCGGGCTCGGCAGCCTGGGGCGCCCGGTGTCGGGGAGCCCGGGGCTCCAGTGCGAGCGGCTGGCCGAGCCTCACGGCGGGTGAGCGAAGGGCATTGGCGGGGAGCGGCGGGCTCCGAGGCCGGAGGCTGCGGGCTGGATTGGCGTGGGGTGGGGGAGGGTGGGGGTGCGGCGACTGAGGTATGAGGTCCCCGGGCCACCCAGAGAGCAGCCGAGAGCTGCAGCACTCGCTCAGAGGGAGCAGATGAAGGGGCGCCTTGTACTTCGGCCCGGACGAGCTGGAACGTTCTGGGTGGAGGAGGAAAAGGTCCGGAGGAGAGGGGTGTGGCAGGCGGTGTGCCTGCGAGCTCCTGACGGGCGGGCCAAGTGCCGAAGGGGGCCAGGCTGGCGGCCAGTCCTTCCGTGGCCTTCCCTGGAGCTCCCGCCCAGCCTGTGATCCTGGGGGTAAGGATGGGTCTGCTCGGCGAGGACTGTGTGGTCAAGAAGCTGCAGGGACATCCAGAGATGGAAAGGGTGCCCGTGGTAAGGTTAGACCGAAGGCGATGGGTGTCAGAGACCGTGTAAGGTTGCCCTCGGAGTGTGTGTCGGGGGCGGACAGTACAAGGGCTGCTGACTGTTGACGAGTGGTGGAGTTCAGGGAACGTTTTCATGTAAGCCAACCAAAGTTTCTGCTAGTTCAAATGAATTAAGGGGCATTAGATGTAGTAATGAGCCTTTCTGCAGCAAGCCACTTATATTGTTTCTTTTGAGGAGCGCGTCCTTTATTTATATTCTGTTAAATACAATATTCGAGCATGTCACCAGAGTTGAGTCTTTATAGGCACTTAGTTTGGTAGTTACAGGTGATGTTGGGTTGTTTCTCACGTGCTGGTCTTAATTCCACTGCCGCTAACTCCAAGTTGTTTCCTTTCGAATGAGTACTACGTTTACATCTCTGACTAACTTCCCTCCCTTTAATTTTGTTTTCTACTGTGTCTGCCTCTATTTTTCTGGCCTCTTCCAGATGCACTATACTAATAACTTCCAAAGGGAACTTGCTGCTTTTAGCCTGTCTGCCGTGCCACTACTCCTGGTCTGCTGGCACGCTGGCACGCTGGCATGCTGGCACAGGCATGCGCCGGCGCTCTCGTCTCTGCCCCCCCGCGCGCCTCGTGTGTATTGTTGTTCAATGGGGGGTGTGTGTGTGAACCCTGTGGGAATATTGGACGAGCACTGATATCACTGAGCTGTAATTCCAATTCTTTGTTGCTCCCCCCGCGCCTCGTGTGTATTGTTGTTCAATGGGGGGGTGCGTGGGAATATTGGACGAGCACTGATATCACTGAGCTGTAATTCCAATTCTTTGTAATTGTCTTTTGTACCATTCTCTGACACTTATCTCAGAAATACTCAGCGACTATTTATTTACTTAGTGGTTCTGGGGATGGAACGTACTTTTCTACTAAGAAATACCCCTAACCCAGAATAGATTTTTAAATAATTTAGGCAGATATTAAAAACCCTTCTGTGACTCAAATCAATATGATCCTTTCATTCTTTTTAAAGTTACTTTATCCGGCATATCGTATATTTTTAGACAACCACAGGATTTTTGTTTTTATGTTTTATTTATTTGTTTAGTTTGAGATAGGGCTTCACATCATAGTCCTTCTGGCTGCCCTGGGACTTAATAAGTAACCCAGGATAGCCTCTAACTTGTGGCAATCTTCCATTGGGTCCTAATTATCTCTAAAGCAGGGCAATTATTATTGGTCCCATTTTATAGATAGCTATTGCGTATCACACATGCCAAGTAATTTGCTCTAGGTCCTGCTTCCTTTGTGTTTGAAATGGATATGATATGTACTCAAGCATGTGTCTTTTAAGGAAATTAACATCCTGAGTGAATGTGAATAGGTGATAGACACAATGAAAATAACTTCTGAGTTAAAAGCTTCATTTATGATTCAGTAACTAGAACTAACTAGGATTATGTTTATGAAAGGTGAGTTCCTATTTCATATTAAATAACTGTTTTTCCCCCCAAAGTTCAGATCAATGTGAATTAGGTTTCAAGCCCTGGTAGCACACATCTTTAATCCCAGCCCTAGGGAGGCAGAAGCAGGTGGATCTCTGTGAGTTCGACACCAGCCTGGTCTACAAGAGCTAGTTCCAGGACAGTTTCCAAAGCCACAGAGAAACCCTGTCTTGAAAAAACAAAAACAAAAACCAAACAAAAAATTAGGTTTCAGTTCTAAAACAGCGAATGTGCTCTAAGTCTATTCAATTTAATTCATCCCATTAATGAAAGAGTGTAATTCTGGGGTCTGTGTGTGCTCTTTCCTTTTTTCTTTCTTGAGACTTGTTGGGGACAGGTATAGGGTTGTCCCACTATGCCTGGCATGTTTATATGTATGTACACTAAAATTTTAGAATTTATTTTAATTTTAAAAATATTTTTAAACATTTATCTTCTATATGTGATTTGCCACAATGTATGTATATATACCATATGCATGTAGTGCCCTCAAAGGCCAGAAGAAGGTTCTGGATCCTCTGGGACTAGAGTTATGGATGGCTGTACACCACCAATGGTGGGAATTGAACCCTGGTCCTCTGGAGGAGCAGCCAGTGCTCTTAAACCCTGGGCCATCTCTCCAGCCCTGTTATATATTTTTAGTCACCATTTTAAAATGTGTTGTTGGTGTTTATGTCAGTGACTTTTGAAGCTAGAATATTAATCAGCTTCTCTGGTAGCCCACCCAGAACTGCTTATTAATCACATAGAAGATACCATCTCAAATGAAAACAAACCAGACTTAAAGAAAAATAAATTAAGATAGGTGACTGTATTCTAGGTTAGGTATCATGGTAGAAATTAGAGTTAATCTAAAATTGAAGTCTTAGGTCACATCAAATGCCAAGAAACTAGTTCATTCCACAAAGAAAGATTCACATATAACTTTATATTTACTCTTTTTTTTTTCCCTTAAAAGTTGGGTAAGATTTTTTTCTGGAGCCAGTGAGATGGCTCAGCAGGTAATTTTATTTTATTTGTAGAGATTTTTTGCCTATTTGTACATCTGAACCACTTGTATGCAGATGTCAGGATCTCCTAACTGGAGTTTTTTGTTATTAATAATACCATTAATTATTATTTTAGGATTTCATGTATCTGAGTGTTTTGCCTGCATTTACGTCTGTGCATTACTTGTGTAGAGTGCTCTCTGAGGCCAGAAGAGGGCACTGGATCCCTCGGGATTAGAGTTACCGACAGTGACTGTTGTGAGCAGCCATGTGGGTGCCAGGCAAGAGCAGTCAGTCCCTTAGTCACTGAGCCATCTCTCCAGTCCCAGAATCTCACTTTCTTAATCTGGAAAGGCAAGGATACTTTCTTTTCAAAGTAAATTATATTTCAGTGAACAAATCTGTATGTAATGACTGGCAAGAAATCTGACATGTTATAGATACTCAAGGCTCTTAGCTTATGAAATTGTAGTTATTAGAAACCATTAAGTGAGAACCTTTGTCTGTCTCCTCTGTACAGGGTTCACCATCCTGAACCCTGAATGCCCCAGAGCCCTTAAAAAAGACTTAGTTCCCAAGGAGAGCGTTCCTTTTGGAGGATTTAAATACTAAGGATTTTATCTAGCTTTTTGTGGAACCAACACAGAGAGCAAATGCCTAATGTGACAGATGCTTCTGGTGAGGCAATAAAGGAAATACAACACTGAAAAGAAGAAAATTTCTATCATTCTGCCTAACCTGGGATACATAGCCACTTACCTTAATCTTGTTTGTTTGTTTGTTTTGTTTTGTTTTCATCTGAGATGTATCTTCTAATCTTCTATGTGGCTGATAAACAGTTCTGGGCAGACAACTAGAGAAGCTGATTAATAGTCGAGTGTCAGAAGTTGCTGGAATAATGTGCATTTGGTAGAATCCATGAATGCTCTTGTAAAGACAAGCACAGAGCATGGGGAGGGTCCAAGGATGCTAGAGGACTGGAGCATACCTTGCAGCAGGTCCCAAAACTACCCAGGGAGGGGGTGAGAGGAACTAGCCCTTCTCTGCTTACGGGTCTATATATATTACAGGACTCAGAATACTGTCCTCTTAGTGAAGTTTCCTAAGTCTTCCAGGAAGGCTTTTTAAAAGTGACAAATATTTGTTCAAAAAAGTACACAAAAGGATGAATGGTTTGAGATATGCAGTAGTTTATGACAGGAAATTTAGTCTAGGACCAGGTTATAAGAGACTATGTAGACTCTATTTGGTAAGGTGTCAGTTGAACTTTACAAACAAACAAGGAATGTGATTAAATGTATATTTTCCTTTTTTAATGTGTATTGTTTTTTGTCTGCATTCTTGTCTGTGAGAGGGTATCAGATCCCCTGAAACTGTAGTTACATACTGTTGTGAGCTGCCATGTCAGTGGGAATTGAACATGGGTCCTCTGGAAGAGCAGCCAATGTTCTTAACAGCTGAGCCATCACTCTGGCCCCAAATGCATATTTTCTTAAGACACCTATTGAATGGAGGTTAAGTTAGAGCTGGAAGAATTGGAGCCTGTCCAAATCAGTCAGCAGGCAGTGTGGTAAGGGACTTGAATAAGCATAATGAATGGAATTCATATTTTACTGAGTTTAAGCACATCAGATTATAGTGTATCTAAACTTCTGAGACTGGAACAGTATCTGTGTGGTAGGTGATGCTTCCACAATCTTTTTGTTGTTTTTTTGAGACAGGATTTCTCTGTATTGCTTTGGAGGTTTCTATGTATTGCTTTGGAGGTTGTCCTGGAACTCGCTCTGTAGACCAGGCTGGCCTCGAACTCACAGAGATCCACCTGCCTCTGCCTCCCAAGTGCTGGGATTAAAGGTGTGCGCCACCAACACCCAGCTACAATCTTATATTTTGATGGTGGCAGTAAAAAAAAAAAAGAGGTGATTGGTATAACATAGCTTTAGGGTGCTTGCTGAGTGAGCATGGTGAGGCTCTGAGTCCTATCTCCAGAGTGGCTAAAAAAATCTAGAATAAGTAGTAAAGAATAACTTTATAACACTTGGTAAAGTTTCTCTGATTGTATAGAAATGAATAAT